CATAATAATGCACTAGTATGTGCTTTATGAGTACTAATAAACGGCTAATATAGTAATATGCAAGCAACTAGTTAATAACTAAAGTGTTACATTAAATAAATAAATGTTTTGTCACAGTGTCTGGTTGTGGTGCCCTGGACTGGCCACTTGAGGGCCACTCCCGTTTCTGTGTTACATGTGTTGAACTCCATTTCCCATAGTCCCTTGCCTGTCGTGTCTGTTATGATCATGATCTCCTGTTAGTCATTTACTCATCATCCCATCACTACATATACCATGCTCACTCTGTCTGTCTTTGCTGCAGTATTATTCGATTCTGATGTTTGTGTTTGATGTTGTTAAGGTTACATCGTGTTATCTGTTCCCTGTGTTTTGGATTACCTTTTGCCACGTTTCTGTTCTGTTTATTTTATACTTTAATAAACTGCACTTGGATTTATCCTTGTTTTCTCCTGCCATTCCATGACATGTTTGTGTTTGTGCATATATAACATTTAACATTAATTGACATGACATCTGGCACTCCTTATGTGTGTGTATGTTCTTTATGGGAAAATGCTTATGAAATTTAGTTTATTGGGTTCACATTCTGATCGTATCTGCTTGCTGGTATATAATATGCATCATCAAATCTTTTATTTACAAACAAAACAGTGTAGTTTACAGCAGAAACGGCGACAAACGATCGTGAGTCCTGGCAAGAACTGGCAGCTGATACATAAAAATGTATAATAATAATAATACAATTGTGGGAACTTTGCATCGTCATTTAAAAAAAAACATCACCGCACGCCACTGAGAACAGTGTAGTTTTACCGAGCAAACAGTAGAAACAGTGAGAAAGACCGTGGCAGCTGCCTCGAACTCTGGCAGCTGCCAGAAACGACTAGTGGCAGCTGCCACGAACTCTGGCAGCTGCCAGTGGCAGCTGGGGATGCCACCGGAAGTGGCGCTGCGACCTGCAGATGCCAGAGAGAGCGCCAGTCCCTGCAGGGCTTTGTTGCGTCCATTGTAGACAGCTTCAAGCTGTTGCAGCACGACAACGGTAACGACCGGTGTAGACACGGTTCAGTAACTGGCCTAATTACTTCTCTCCATAGTTCCAGGAGATCTTGGGAATCAGCTTGAAGCGAAACTTGACAAACCTAGTGTAGTGCACTTCATCTGCTACAAGAAGACCAAGGACTACTTCACATTATGGCTCAACCTGGAGCTGCTGATGCTGGTGGTCATTGACTGCTGGATTGATAACATGAGGAAAAGGGCAAAAGGGCATATCGGAAATCGGAAGTTGTTCATGTGATGTGGCTATTTAAATCCATACCATTTTTCTAAAACAAGCATCCTTCTTCTGCAACAACCTTAACATTCAGGTTCTGGAAGTAAAAAATGCCATTAAATTTTTTTTTCCATAAGGAAATGTCAATTATAATATATAAACCTTTAAGGACAGACCTATAGTTCCAAGGTTGTTAATCAGTGGTATATACTTTTATTGAAGCCATCTGTTCGCGTGTGCTAACTTATTTTTTAAAGAAATCGCATTTAACAGCCGAATTTGTAGTAAAAAACTACACTACCCATGATGCTAAACAGAAAATTCCACCAATCAGAGTTGCAGCTAACAAATCTTGCCAAAAGAATGTGCAGTAACTTTAAATATATTGTTTTCAAATATATAAATAGCAACTTGAAATGATAAATTACATTTTTCATTCGCAATGCTTCATGGGATTGTAGTTTTTCTCTCACTAAGCCATTAAGTACACACTCTTGTACCTTTGTCTTTTTGTTTAATTTTCAAATCCTTTTTTTTTTAGCTTGAAATAAAAGTTTGTAATGTTGTGAATCACATAGTAGCTGGTTGGCTTGGTCAATGGCTTAAAAATCTTTAACAAATATTTTTTTAAGAAATCTCAATGAGAAAATGAATAGACAAATTACTTCTGGCTCCAACGGCATTGAAAAAGTTGGCCGGCACTAATGCACTCTATTAAATGTAAAAATATAGACATGCTGTGCACTTTTTGAGATTGGAAGCTGACTTTTTCTCCTTATGACTTTTTATACCCTGTTTTGAATATGCAAATACATAATCCGCATATATTTTGTTTGCAGGCTACTGTACAATCGTACAACCCACCTCACTGAAGCTCCTCCGGGAGTGGATGTCAGAGTGCCAGGGTTTGGACAGACCAATAGTTTGGAATATCTGGATCCTAGTAAACGGTGTGTGGGTGAGTGCAAACTGGGTGTTTATCTTATTATGTTAATGTGTTGATTGGTAAAAGTTGTTTGACGAGAGCTTTGTCTGTTTCAGGCAGGTACTTCTTCACTATAGTACAAGAACTGGTTAACTGGGGTTATACCAGAGACGATGATGTTCGAGGTGCCCCCTATGACTGGCGTAAAGCCCCAAGTGAGTATCTTCATGATCTGTTTGTGCACACAAACAAAGTTCTCTTGTTTATTAATGTGGACTCTTTTCTTGATGTCTAACTTCTTATGTTTTTCTCCTGATCTGTTATCTGTTGATGAGAATAAGGAGTACTTCTTGCGTCTGCAGCAGATGATTGAGGAGATGGCTAATAAAGCTGGAGGTCCTGTGGTTCTCATTGCACACAGTATGGGGAATATGTACATGCTCTATTTCCTTAATCGCCAGCCACAAGCTTGGAAGGACCGGTACATCAAGGCATTTGTGTCTCTAGGGCCTCCATGGGCTGGAGTGGCCAAAACTCTGAAAGTTATGGCAACAGGTATGGGCCAAATTTGTTGTGGAAGGAGATTTTGTAGAAATGGATTTGTAGGTAAATGATGTGGCTCTCGTTTTTGTTCTATTAATTTATACAAAATGAATTAAAAAGTTCATTCACATATACAGTGGCTTGAATACACCTTTATTTTCTGAATTATAATTCAATTAATTTAACTGATATTTTTGAGGGCAGAAAGTCAAAACTGTCACGGTGAAGCAGTTCAAATTAATTTAGATATTTTTTGAGGGCAGAAAGTCAAAACTGTCACAGTGAAACAACTGTCCTCATTTTATAATGAATGAAAATGTACATAAAAAAAAAAACTAGTATTTTGTCAGTCTTGTATTATTATTTCTGAGGAAATATTATTTAATAATTATGCAATTAAATATGATTTTATTAATAATGTTACTTAATAAATATTTCTTTAACAAAACTCTTTTATAATATTTCTATTCATATTTTTAAAGCTTTTTTGTCATGTGGTTTGTCAACTCAATGTAATAATTGAATCAAGTCATTTATTTTTATAGCGCAGATATAATTAATGATATTTGTAAAAAAAAAAATGTTTTTTTAAATGTATACACGTACAAAGAAACAGCACATAAAATTAAACTTGAAAATTTGAAGTAGAAAATCTGAAATGGTATTGTCTTGTAAAACATACTTCAGTAATCTTGTAATTAAATTGTAAAACTAATTTTTTTTTACAGTGCATATTAAACATTATGTTTAGTTTATTTTTAGAATGTTAAAAAAACCTAGAAAATGCTATAAAAGTTTTTCCAAAACCATATGAAATAAACCATAATTACAATACAAATACATAAATACAACACAATGTGTTTTTGCGTTTCCAAAAACATGTGAGTGTAACATGCAAACATGTCTGTCTAGCACATATTTACATGGAAAAACAACCCCTAAAAACATGGCACTTGTGTATTAAAACCCATTTACAATCACTGGTTTGACCATTTGATGGTTTCGGTTCCATCACAGGTGACAACGACCACGTTCCTTTGATCAGTCCTCTAAATATCCGCACCCAGCAGCGTACGGCCGTCTCCACCGCCTGGCTCTTCCCCTATGCCCACACCTGGCCCAAAGACATGGTCCTGGTTTCAACCTCCAACACCAGCTACACTGTCCAAGACTATCAGCGCTTCTTCAAAGATATCGACTATGAGGACGGCTGGGCCATGAGGCAGGACACAGAAACACTGGTCAATGCACTTCAGCCTCCGGGCGTTCCTGTCTATTGCCTTTATGGCAGCGGCATCCCCACACCTCAGGGCTATAATTACACAAACTTCTCAGATGCATATCCCACCGTCATCAACGGGGATGGAGATGGAACAGTCAACCTGTTGAGTGCGAGACTGTGCAAACGCTGGGTGGGCCAGCAGAAGCAGCCTGTCCACATGATCGAGCTGCCTGGGAATGAACATCTCGCTATGCTGTTGAACGCAACCACAGTTGAGCACATCAAAAAGGTGCTGTTTCCACCATGATGGCATCACACTTCCCGTTTAACTTTGAACTGAAGATTCTGGTTTGCCAAAGGGACAGGACTCGGTTCTGCTTTTTTGGTGGGATTTGTCGTTATCGTAATTCGCTTTCAGGTTTATCAGGAGATCAGCGTGAAATAGTCGGCTTTTGTTGGGCACAATCAGCATTTATAGAAATTGTTTTTTCTTTACTCCTCAATTCAAATCTAACATTTTAATATTATATAGATTTTAATGCACAAATTACAGTTGTTTAATCTGAAATAGCAATTGCCTGCCGTTAATCTGTCAATTACATTTTTTAAATATTGTCAGTTTTTAACCTCTAACCTCCTACTTCTTGAAATCTACTGATTTTGTCTAGTGCTTTTTTATGCATTTTCTATCCAAATTGTTCTGACATTGCAGTATTTCTGTTGATCCTATCGAACAAGCAAGTGGCTATTTATCAGGCTGTCCATGACCAGTATTGATTTATGTATATTTATCAAGTGGTCTCGAATGTAGAATGTGCAACACGACTTATTTATATCGGCTTAACCTGTGTGACTGCAATTGTGCCAGGACCCAGGATGGGTTAACCGAGGTTACACTTGTACAAACTCTGCTCAGTTATTTGTGCTTTTGTTTTTTACATGAACTGACCTTTTGAATAAAATGAACTCTGATTTGTGAAGCAAGTTATTTGTTGCCTTTAAAACTGGGGTTGTAAGATTATGTTCCGTCATTAAAACAAAGACTGTATTTAAGGTACAACTGTGGAAAGTGAAACAAAGTCTTTCAGTTTCAGGATGTGGTGTGTTGCTCGTAAACAGGCTTGATAGTAAAAATGCGATGCATTTTTCAGTGGAATTCAAACCCAGGGCCTGGCTGTTTGTCGCTAAACAACAGATGCCCTGTTGCATACATGCCCTGGGTTAGTGAAAAATCGCCATGTTGCAATTATGTACAATAAAATGCCCTTTACCAAAACTGTATAACGTAACAAAGAGATCCTTTATGCATCAGTTAGTAGTTAGTACAAATCTTTATTATATTCTGCTTAAATATGAAACGTATTAAAACACAAATGTTGACTGCAATACATGTTAGCAAACCTGAAAATTCACATTCTAAACAAAGTTTCAAGATCACTGGAGGGGGAAAAGAAAGACTTTATTTCCCGATTTGCAGCGAAGCTCCGTGCAGTTGAGCTGTATGTAAAATGGCCCGTCTTCATGAGCGTCAACGAGACTCTGCGGAAAAGAAACGCAGGTTATTAGTTCAGATGTCAACACAAAAAAACAGCCCAACTCCACAACCTTTGCCTTTAATCAATCCTCATCCTTGTTTAGTTTGTGGTGCAGATCTGTTTTTGGGTTCCTACCTGCAATTCTGATAAACATGTTTTTTTCAGTGTTTCCACATGATCACCCACACACCAAGCAAGGCTTATGTGGAAAGAAGGATCCTATTAAGGAAGAGTGTTAGATGATATCTAAATTTGATTGTATTTGAGTCACAAATATGAAATCAATGCCAGGTTTTACCTTATAAAAGGTGCTAAGGTTGAATTCTGTCATGGTTTCGTCCACTATTTTGATGAGCTCAAGCAACTGAGTTTTTCCAGTGGAGATTTCCATACCAAGGAAGGTCCTGCATGAACAACTTGATGCCATTAAAACAGTGCATGTCCTTTATTTGAAAGGAAGACATAAATACACATCCTAGTTGGGTCATTAAGATTTAGAGTAATGACATACCTAGACTTTTCAGCATTAGAATAAACCTTCAGTTTATCAGCCAAGCAGAAAAACCTGAGAAAACAATCGGACTTGGATACCCAGCAACTGGCATACAGCATAATGAAACAGTAGGGCTTTTCACACTGAAAATAGTTAACCCTGGGTCATTCTAAACCCCGGATAAATGCAATCCTGGGTTATCTTGCTTCACTTTTCAGATAGCCGCAGGTAAAAACCAATGCTTCTAAGTTACTAGTGTGAAACGCTCCTCTTCCCGGGGTTATAAGCGGTGTTTAAAATGACGACAACCTGGGGTTAAACACAGTGTGAAAAACCCTAATGAGGTTTTGATTAGATAGCACGGACTTCTGGAACTGTGTCAGACCGGTCTGAATGGACTGAATAAATGGCTGGATCCAGTGATGGCGCAGAACCACTGTCTTTGAGAGACTGAGGTGAAATTCTTCAGACAGGGACAGGGGGATGCCGTGAGTGGCCGCAACCACCATCATTTCATTGAGTAGCTCCAGAAAGGCCTCCTCAGGATCATCTAAAAAAAAAGGGTTAAAGGTCATTCATTGAAAAATTACAGAATCGACCTAAATACACTGAGGAAAATGCTTACAAGGACAGAACACGCATGTAGCCCAGTTCCCCCGCTCATGCTGGAAGGACCGCAGTCGCCCTCCATGCTCTTCACTTTTATCGATCCACTGTTCTTCTGATTCTCTGAACATCTCCTTCACGCTATCAGGAAGAGGCAGTCGAGGTGTAGAGTGGGCTGATTTGCCAGCTTTCCTTTTAACAGATCCATGATCCAAAGGTTCACTGGTGCTATTGAGGTAAAAAGAGGAACTTAGAGCCCTGGAAAAGCACATCAAAATAAAACTAAATCAAGAAACCACCAAACGCACCAAACCTGTTTTCAGTGTCGAGCATTCTTCTTTTCCTTAAAGGTGAGGAATCATCTTTTGAAGTGTTTTCTGTTTCCTCTTCAGAACTGCTACTACTGTAATTGACAATCATGCTAACAGAAAAAATATATTTTTTTAAAAACTGCATCAGAGAATTAAAAAACTTTTCTTGAAAAACACCCTCTCAGTTATGACACTCGTTATTGTCTCGTGCAACGTGCTTCCATTAGAAATAAATATTGCTGTTTCTTCACAGCGCCCCGCGACAACAAACCAGAGGATTCATGAACGAATCATTCTTATGAGTCGGCTCTTTTACAGTGAATCAGTTGAACCGGTTCACAGCACCGGTCAGAATGATTCAGTCACAAATCTAAAGCGGTCCGAGCGGTTTTGAGCCACTTGATTGTATGATAGTTTCATATCATAATTTATGACACAAACGAAACAGTGAAATTTCTTTTTTTTTTAGCCGAGACATCCGTTTTATTTAGGATCATATTCCTAATCATGGCTTTATTCAAAGCAAGGATATGAGTGCGTAGGTACGTTTTGAACCGGTTCTTTGAAACGAACCATTCGAAAGAACCGATTCTGTAAATGATTCGGACCTCCCATCACTAGAAAACAAACGGTGCTTCATCACAGCGTCCCACTACAGCAAAGATCGATTCCAATCGTTCCGGCTGTTTTGCATACTGCCCTTATAAAACATTACAGCCGGTCAATATGACATGGAGCCAATATACACAAACTTAATCTTGCATCCTAGCATAAACACTAACATACAATGTTCACACGAACAAAATGTTGACGTTGATTTTCCTTTTTGAAGCTTCATATGAACAATTATCATGTCGTATGCTACAATAATTCCTCAAAAAGTGTTATAATAAAATATCAATTTGCCCCTATACCCTGAAACAGCGATATACACGTATAATGCGTAACAATGACGTTTTTTATATGAATATGTAAATCTAAATGCCGGTTTTGAATCAAATTAATGAAGTTCCGGTATGTTTTGTGAGGATGCCAATTATGTGTTATTCAGGTTCCCGTGCGGCTGCCGGGGGTTTCGGTGGTCACTGATCCAAGCCCGAAATAAAACACTCTATGTTTCGGGCTCTCCTCGCCAGTCGGCTCCCCTAAATGCGCTGCAAACGCAGAAAAGGCTGCTATCGGGGTTTGCGGAGCAACCCAAGAGAGATCCGGGGAGTTGGCAGGGTTTTCAAGTGTTTTTGTAGACACTGGCCAGGGGGTGCGGCCTAGCCGAGACCGCGGGTCGGTGGGAGGATTTACGGCCTTCAGAAACACCATAAGATGTTTTTTGTTTAAACCTATATTTCCGAGAGTGAACATGCGTGGAACCCGCTTATGAAAAAGGTAATATACATATGTGAACAAAACGTAGCAGGATGTCCGTGTTGCAAAGATACTGTTAGCCTGTTAGCCTGTTAGCCAGCTTGCAAATATTCGTTAACGTTAGCCATTTTGCAACGCTGTGTGTATGCGTTTTCTTCCAGGTGTCTTGAAAACCCGCCGGTTTTATAAACTGTAGGGTTCTGTGTTGGACATTGATATTAGTGCTACCTTACCTAAAGCTACAATTTTGTCACCGGCTTTTATGCACCGCGGTATATAAAAAAAAAACGCGAATATGTGTGTAAACAAATACGCGGCGATCTAGCGTCATTCAATATCGTTGTGTTATTGCATCGTCTCAACCATGCATGCCCTTTTGTACACCGTCTATTAATGTGGTGATTGGAGACAAAAGGACTGTGTCTTATAACAGTGAGCTTCCTACCTGGACAGTATTTTGGGTATCATATGCATTTTGTGTGGTCTGTGATCAGATTTCATTTGGTGCATATGATACTGTGCTTACTTATTGTTCGTTTATTAGGTGCTCTGCTCAGGTAGAATATAAGTGCGCACTTAAAATTCTAAGTTAGTATGATATGATTTGAAATGTACATTCAGGTAACCATTTGATGATGTAGATCGCCTTAAAGATCATCGAGCCAAGACTCAAAGCCAGCTGTTGCAGTAAAGATTAAGGCCTTTCACATTAACAGTGGTTAAACTGCCAAGGTCGTCAAGTCGCTTTGCTGATGTAGTAGGATCACCAGCAATCTTTTAAAACTCATGTTGCCTTAAATAGCCAGCTTTCTTTGTCTTCTGGTCAATTTTAATGATGCAAGCCGCTGTCAGGGTCAGGGGTCTTATTGTTGAACAATACAGATATTTTATTCTGTCCCATTCGGACCAGTAGTTCAGATGTTTTTTATTACTTTACTGGCCACACGCATTTTAAATTTCAGCCATGTTTTCTATATGCCAGAAGATTTACATTTTTCATGGAATCAACTTCAAAAAAGGATCTATTTGTAATTTTTAAGCTTGTCTTATTGATGTTTCCAAGATCTATTTTTTATAGCGGTTTCAACAAAACCTCAAATTTACACTTCAAAGTTGTCACATAACATAAGTGCTTCTAAAGTGGCAGTTAATTGTCTTAGACTAATTAAATGCTACTCAGAGGTGGCATTAACAGCAATTGCAACTGTACAGCTTGATACTAGAGAATAAGGTGGGTCAGAGCAGGCATAATTTAGCCTGGCTTTTATGCACCATTGCATCTTTACACTGTATTTTAAATGGGTATAGAGCAGCCTAAACTTGGCAGTGTAAAGACTCCCTTTGTCAGCCAGTTAGATAATGTTACCTTAGTAACATGTAAATCAGCAAAATATGCAATGACAATACTCATCTTAATATTAAGTTTAAATTTGCAAGGCATAAAATGACATGTACAAGATCAACAAATGTATGATGTGGCAAGTGATGGTTCCATCAACTGGCTCAAAACTGTTTCACAAGCCATCCTTGTTGTGGATCTCTGCAGTGTGAATGCCCCTGAAGATGTGTGTAGGCCTGTCACAATAATCAATATATCGACTTATCGCGCAATATATGTACATGACCTCAATAATTTTTGGTGACGCAATATATCGCCCATTATATTTACTTAAAAATTTATGTCACCATGTTTTGTACATTCCACTTGCGCCTGTGTCTTTTGCAGCTTCTCGTACATAATGAAAAGATGCTTCTACAAAAGGTTTTATCTGCAGATATGGTCTTGTTTAGGGATTTGTGCCTTTGTGCATACGGATATCTGACTGCTAGTAGTGATTGTGTTTCTCAGCAATAGTGTGCACCCTTCATTTACAGAGAAAAGAAGGTCAGGAAAAAATCTGCAGATGGAAAAATCTCCATAAAAGTTATTTGTGCAGTTTTCTTTTTTTCTACTTGTTACTTTGCACTTTTTGTTAGAAAAGGTTTATTTATAATTTATTCAGTTTTTTTAAGGTATCTAAAATGTTATACTTAATTTCCATGATCTAAATATTCTTAAAAATTAAAAGTTTGGAAGTGTGTAGGCCGTCTTGCATTATTATGCTGTTACATTATGATTATATATTCTGTGACATAAAATGGTCTTTAAAATTACAATAATATCGCTTATCGCAATTATTTCTGGGGCAATATATCGCACAACAAAAAGTTGTTATCGTGACAGGCCTAGATGTGTGGAGTGTTCTATTGCACGTTTTTCATTCAGTTCTCTTTTTTTTCTCTTATAGGGCTGTACCAAGGTGATGAAGAAGGTTAAGCTCCTTTGCACTTTTGGCTGATGCTCACATCCATGTCAGTTCGCTGTTTATATCAAGCCACAAAGTGTTCCTGAAAACATTATTACATATAATTTTTTTCTTCATTTGTCATTCTCACGAGCTGTCAAAATAAGTTCCTCTCTGCCTCCCCACCTTTCCCATCGTGGGCAGTCCAACATTTCCTTCCCCCTAAATTCGTCTGGAAAGAGGTTCAACTACGGCTCAAAGCTGAATCCGTACACCCGATCCCGGATGACGGAGGCGTGGCAGCAGCATGCTGTTGCCCCGCCTCCAGTGGTGCACACCATCCCACCAGGGGCGGACACACTGGGCTGCACTGTCTACGGCATTGTCCTCCAGCCAGACACGGCATTGCAACAACAACAACAGCAGCAGCAGCAACAATCCCAGCAACAACAGCAACATCACAGTCAGCAGCTCAACCAGCAGCAGCATCCGGCACAAGCGCAGCAGCCCTCCTTGCATGTAGGGAGCGAGGAAGGACACAAGTGTGGTGCATGTGGCCATGACATCTCCCATCTGGCTAATCCCCATGAGCACCAGTGCATGGTGAGCCAAGACCGTTCGTTTCAGTGCACGCAGTGTCTGAAAATCTTCCACCAAGCCACTGACCTGTTGGAGCATCAGTGCGTGCAGGTGGAGCAGAAACCCTTTGTGTGCGGAGTGTGCAAGATGGGCTTCTCCCTGTTAACTTCTCTAGCGCAGCATCACAATGCCCATAACAGTGGCAACCCCATGAAGTGCTCCATATGTGAAAAAACATATCGGCCGGGTTCTGGAAATGCCACGCCAACTTCATCAGCGGGCACTCCAGGGCAACCATCTAACGACGAAGCATCGTCCAGTGGCAGCGCTGCTGTCGGGACGTCAGGCCAGCCTACGTTTGAGCCTTCGCAACCTGACAGGCCCTACAAGTGTTCCGTGTGCTCCAAGGGTTTCCGTCACTTATCTGAGCTCACCCGTCATGAACGCGTCCACACGGGCGAGAAGCCTTTTAAATGTGAAACATGTGACAAAAGCTTTAGCCAGTCCTCTCATCTAGCCCACCACCAGCGTACCCACAGCTCAGAACGGCCGTTCAAGTGTGCGGTGTGCGAGAAGAGCTTCAAGCACCGATCCCACCTAGTCCGTCACATGTACGCCCACTCGGGTGAGCACCTGTTCAAGTGCAACCTTTGTGAGTTGCACTTCAAAGAGTCTTCCGAGCTCCTCCACCACCAGTGTCAGCCGCAAGGTGCTCGGCCATTTCGCTGTGCCACGTGCGGGAAGGGCTTCAAGCGTCCGTCCGACCTGAGACAGCACGAACGCACTCACTCTGAGGAACGCCCATTCCATTGTGAAGACTGCCAGATGAGCTTTAAACAACAGTATGCCCTGGTGCGCCACCGACGCACGCACAAGCCCTCCGCCGACCGCCCCTTCAAATGCAACCTGTGCGACAAGGGCTTCCTGCAGCCGTCCCACTTGTTGTACCACCAGCACGTTCACGGCATGGACAACCTTTTCAAATGCGCCTCCTGTGGAAAGGGCTTCAGCCAGTCCGGGGAGCTGCTCCGTCACAAATGTGGTGAGTCCTCCTCGACACCCACAAATCCAGACAAGCCCTACAAGTGCGACGTGTGCGGAAAGGCCTACAAAAAGGCCACCACGCTACAGCGCCATCAGAATGATGCATTTTTCAGTGGAATTCAAACCCAGGGCCTGGCTGTTTGTCGCTAAACAACAGATGCCCTGTTGCATACATGCCCTGGGTTAGTGAAAAATCGCCATGTTGCAATTATGTACAATAAAATGCCCTTTACCAAAACTGTATAACGTAACAAAGAGATCCTTTATGCATCAGTTAGTAGTTAGTACAAATCTTTATTATATTCTGCTTAAATATGAAACGTATTAAAACACAAATGTTGACTGCAATACATGTTAGCAAACCTGAAAATTCACATTCTAAACAAAGTTTCAAGATCACTGGAGGGGGAAAAGAAAGACTTTATTTCCCGATTTGCAGCGAAGCTCCGTGCAGTTGAGCTGTATGTAAAATGGCCCGTCTTCATGAGCGTCAACGAGACTCTGCGGAAAAGAAACGCAGGTTATTAGTTCAGATGTCAACACAAAAAAACAGCCCAACTCCACAACCTTTGCCTTTAATCAATCCTCATCCTTGTTTAGTTTGTGGTGCAGATCTGTTTTTGGGTTCCTACCTGCAATTCTGATAAACATGTTTTTTTCAGTGTTTCCACATGATCACCCACACACCAAGCAAGGCTTATGTGGAAAGAAGGATCCTATTAAGGAAGAGTGTTAGATGATATCTAAATTTGATTGTATTTGAGTCACAAATATGAAATCAATGCCAGGTTTTACCTTATAAAAGGTGCTAAGGTTGAATTCTGTCATGGTTTCGTCCACTATTTTGATGAGCTCAAGCAACTGAGTTTTTCCAGTGGAGATTTCCATACCAAGGAAGGTCCTGCATGAACAACTTGATGCCATTAAAACAGTGCATGTCCTTTATTTGAAAGGAAGACATAAATACACATCCTAGTTGGGTCATTAAGATTTAGAGTAATGACATACCTAGACTTTTCAGCATTAGAATAAACCTTCAGTTTATCAGCCAAGCAGAAAAACCTGAGAAAACAATCGGACTTGGATACCCAGCAACTGGCATACAGCATAATGAAACAGTAGGGCTTTTCACACTGAAAATAGTTAACCCTGGGTCATTCTAAACCCCGGATAAATGCAATCCTGGGTTATCTTGCTTCACTTTTCAGATAGCCGCAGGTAAAAACCAATGCTTCTAAGTTACTAGTGTGAAACGCTCCTCTTCCCGGGGTTATAAGCGGTGTTTAAAATGACGACAACCTGGGGTTAAACACAGTGTGAAAAACCCTAATGAGGTTTTGATTAGATAGCACGGACTTCTGGAACTGTGTCAGACCGGTCTGAATGGACTGAATAAATGGCTGGATCCAGTGATGGCGCAGAACCACTGTCTTTGAGAGACTGAGGTGAAATTCTTCAGACAGGGACAGGGGGATGCCGTGAGTGGCCGCAACCACCATCATTTCATTGAGTAGCTCCAGAAAGGCCTCCTCAGGATCATCTAAAAAAAAAGGGTTAAAGGTCATTCATTGAAAAATTACAGAATCGACCTAAATACACTGAGGAAAATGCTTACAAGGACAGAACACGCATGTAGCCCAGTTCCCCCGCTCATGCTGGAAGGACCGCAGTCGCCCTCCATGCTCTTCACTTTTATCGATCCACTGTTCTTCTGATTCTCTGAACATCTCCTTCACGCTATCAGGAAGAGGCAGTCGAGGTGTAGAGTGGGCTGATTTGCCAGCTTTCCTTTTAACAGATCCATGATCCAAAGGTTCACTGGTGCTATTGAGGTAAAAAGAGGAACTTAGAGCCCTGGAAAAGCACATCAAAATAAAACTAAATCAAGAAACCACCAAACGCACCAAACCTGTTTTCAGTGTCGAGCATTCTTCTTTTCCTTAAAGGTGAGGAATCATCTTTTGAAGTGTTTTCTGTTTCCTCTTCAGAACTGCTACTACTGTAATTGACAATCATGCTAACAGAAAAAATATATTTTTTTAAAAACTGCATCAGAGAATTAAAAAACTTTTCTTGAAAAACACCCTCTCAGTTATGACACTCGTTATTGTCTCGTGCAACGTGCTTCCATTAGAAATAAATATTGCTGTTTCTTCACAGCGCCCCGCGACAACAAACCAGAGGATTCATGAACGAATCATTCTTATGAGTCGGCTCTTTTACAGTGAATCAGTTGAACCGGTTCACAGCACCGGTCAGAATGATTCAGTCACAAATCTAAAGCGGTCCGAGCGGTTTTGAGCCACTTGATTGTATGATAGTTTCATATCATAATTTATGACACAAACGAAACAGTGAAATTTCTTTTTTTTTTATTCGTTAACGTTAGCCATTTTGCAACGCTGTGTGTATGCGTTTTCTTCCAGGTGTCTTGAAAACCCGCCGGTTTTATAAACTGTAGGGTTCTGTGTTGGACATTGATATTAGTGCTACCTTACCTAAAGCTACAATTTTGTCACCGGCTTTTATGCACCGCGGTATATAAAAAAAAAACGCGAATATGTGTGTAAACAAATACGCGGCGATCTAGCGTCATTCAATATCGTTGTGTTATTGCATCGTCTCAACCATGCATGCCCTTTTGTACACCGTCTATTAATGTGGTGATTGGAGACAAAAGGACTGTGTCTTATAACAGTGAGCTTCCTACCTGGACAGTATTTTGGGTATCATATGCATTTTGTGTGGTCTGTGATCAGATTTCATTTGGTGCATATGATACTGTGCTTACTTATTGTTCGTTTATTAGGTGCTCTGCTCAGGTAGAATATAAGTGCGCACTTAAAATTCTAAGTTAGTGTGATATGATTTGAAATGCACATTCAGGTAACCATTTGATGATGTAGATCGCCTTAAAGATCATCGAGCCAAGACTCAAAGCCAGCTGTTGCAGTAAAGATTAAGGCCTTTCACATTAACAGTGGTTAAACTGCCAAGGTCGTCAAGTCGCTTTGCTGATGTAGTAGGATCACCAGCCATCTTTTAAAACTCATGTTGCCTTAAATAGCCAGCTTTCTTTGTCTTCTGGTCAATTTTAATGATGCAAGCCGCTGTCAGGGTCAGGGGTCTTATTGTTGAACAATACAGATATTTTATTCTGTCCCATTCGGACCAGTAGTTCAGATGTTTTTTATTACTTTACTGGCCACACGCATTTTAAATTTCAGCCATGTTTTCTATATGCCAGAAGATTTACATTTTTCATGGAATCAACTTCAAAAAAGGATCTATTTGTAATTTTTAAGCTTGTCTTATTGATGTTTCCAAGATCTATTTTTTATAGCGGTTTCAACAAAACCTCAAATTTACACTTCAAAGTTGTCACATAACATAAGTGCTTCTAAAGTGGCAGTTAATTGTCTTAGACTAATTAAATGCTACTCAGAGGTGGCATTAACAGCAATTGCAACTGTACAGCTTGATACTAGAGAATAAGGTGGGTCAGAGCAGGCATAATTTAGCCTGGCTTTTATGCACCATTGCATCTTTACACTGTATTTTAAATGGGTATAGAGCAGCCTAAACTTGGCAGTGTAAAGACTCCCTTTGTCAGCCAGTTAGATAATGTTACCTTAGTAACATGTAAATCAGCAAAATATGCAATGACAATACTCATCTTAAAAAAAACGCGAATATGTGTGTAAACAAATACGCGGCGATCTAGCGTCATTCAATATCGTTGTGTTATTGCATCGTCTCAACCATGCATGCCCTTTTGTACACCGTCTATTAATGTGGTGATTGGAGACAAAAGGACTGTGTCTTATAACAGTGAGCTTCCTACCTGGACAGTATTTTGGGTATCATATGCATTTTGTGTGGTCTGTGATCAGATTTCATTTGGTGCATATGATACTGTGCTTACTTATTGTTCGTTTATTAGGTGCTCTGCTCAGGTAGAATATAAGTGCGCACTTAAAATTCTAAGTTAGTATGATATGATTTGAAATGTACATTCAGGTAACCATTTGATGATGTAGATCGCCTTAAAGATCATCGAGCCAAGACTCAAAGCCAGCTGTTGCAGTAAAGATTAAGGCCTTTCACATTAACAGTGGTTAAACTGCCAAGGTCGTCAAGTCGCTTTGCTGATGTAGTAGGATCACCAGCAATCTTTTAAAACTCATGTTGCCTTAAATAGCCAGCTTTCTTTGTCTTCTGGTCAATTTTAATGATGCAAGCCGCTGTCAGGGTCAGGGGTCTTATTGTTGAACAATACAGATATTTTATTCTGTCCCATTCGGACCAGTAGTTCAGATGTTTTTTATTACTTTACTGGCCACACGCATTTTAAATTTCAGCCATGTTTTCTATATGCCAGAAGATTTACATTTTTCATGGAATCAACTTCAAAAAAGGATCTATTTGTAATTTTTAAGCTTGTCTTATTGATGTTTCCAAGATCTATTTTTTATAGCGGTTTCAACAAAACCTCAAATTTACACTTCAAAGTTGTCACATAACATAAGTGCTTCTAAAGTGGCAGTTAATTGTCTTAGACTAATTAAATGCTACTCAGAGGTGGCATTAACAGCAATTGCAACTGTACAGCTTGATACTAGAGAATAAGGTGGGTCAGAGCAGGCATAATTTAGCCTGGCTTTTATGCACCATTGCATCTTTACACTGTATTTTAAATGGGTATAGAGCAGCCTAAACTTGGCAGTGTAAAGACTCCCTTTGTCAGCCAGTTAGATAATGTTACCTTAGTAACATGTAAATCAGCAAAATATGCAATGACAATACTCATCTTAATATTAAGTTTAAATTTGCAAGGCATAAAATGACATGTACAAGATCAACAAATGTATGATGTGGCAAGTGATGGTTCCATCAACTGGCTCAAAACTGTTTCACAAGCCATCCTTGTTGTGGATCTCTGCAGTGTGAATGCCCCTGAAGATGTGTGTAGGCCTGTCACAATAATCAATATATCGACTTATCGCGCAATATATGTACATGACCTCAATAATTTTTGGTGACGCAATATATCGCCCATTATATTTACTTAAAAATTTATGTCACCATGTTTTGTACATTCCACTTGCGCCTGTGTCTTTTGCAGCTTCTCGTACATAATGAAAAGATGCTTCTACAAAAGGTTTTATCTGCAGATATGGTCTTGTTTAGGGATTTGTGCCTTTGTGCATACGGATATCTGACTGCTAGTAGTGATTGTGTTTCTCAGCAATAGTGTGCACCCTTCATTTACAGAGAAAAGAAGGTCAGGAAAAAATCTGCAGATGGAAAAATCTCCATAAAAGTTATTTGTGCAGTTTTCTTTTTTTCTACTTGTTACTTTGCACTTTTTGTTAGAAAAGGTTTATTTATAATTTATTCAGTTTTTTTAAGGTATCTAAAATGTTATACTTAATTTCCATGATCTAAATATTCTTAAAAATTAAAAGTTTGGAAGTGTGTAGGCCGTCTTGCATTATTATGCTGTTACATTATGATTATATATTCTGTGACATAAAATGGTCTTTAAAATTACAATAATATCGCTTATCGCAATTATTTCTGGGGCAATATATCGCACAACAAAAAGTTGTTATCGTGACAGGCCTAGATGTGTGGAGTGTTCTATTGCACGTTTTTCATTCAGTTCTCTTTTTTTTCTCTTATAGGGCTGTACCAAGGTGATGAAGAAGGTTAAGCTCCTTTGCACTTTTGGCTGATGCTCACATCCATGTCAGTTCGCTGTTTATATCAAGCCACAAAGTGTTCCTGAAAACATTATTACATATAATTTTTTTCTTCATTTGTCATTCTCACGAGCTGTCAAAATAAGTTCCTCTCTGCCTCCCCACCTTTCCCATCGTGGGCAGTCCAACATTTCCTTCCCCCTAAATTCGTCTGGAAAGAGGTTCAACTACGGCTCAAAGCTGAATCCGTACACCCGATCCCGGATGACGGAGGCGTGGCAGCAGCATGCTGTTGCCCCGCCTCCAGTGGTGCACACCATCCCACCAGGGGCGGACACACTGGGCTGCACTGTCTACGGCATTGTCCTCCAGCCAGACACGGCATTGCAACAACAACAACAGCAGCAGCAGCAACAATCCCAGCAACAACAGCAACATCACAGTCAGCAGCTCAACCAGCAGCAGCATCCGGCACAAGCGCAGCAGCCCTCCTTGCATGTAGGGAGCGAGGAAGGACACAAGTGTGGTGCATGTGGCCATGACATCTCCCATCTGGCTAATCCCCATGAGCACCAGTGCATGGTGAGCCAAGACCGTTCGTTTCAGTGCACGCAGTGTCTGAAAATCTTCCACCAAGCCACTGACCTGTTGGAGCATCAGTGCGTGCAGGTGGAGCAGAAACCCTTTGTGTGCGGAGTGTGCAAGATGGGCTTCTCCCTGTTAACTTCTCTAGCGCAGCATCACAATGCCCATAACAGTGGCAACCCCATGAAGTGCTCCATATGTGAAAAAACATATCGGCCGGGTTCTGGAAATGCCACGCCAACTTCATCAGCGGGCACTCCAGGGCAACCATCTAACGACGAAGCATCGTCCAGTGGCAGCGCTGCTGTCGGGACGTCAGGCCAGCCTACGTTTGAGCCTTCGCAACCTGACAGGCCCTACAAGTGTTCCGTGTGCTCCAAGGGTTTCCGTCACTTATCTGAGCTCACCCGTCATGAACGCGTCCACACGGGCGAGAAGCCTTTTAAATGTGAAACATGTGACAAAAGCTTTAGCCAGTCCTCTCATCTAGCCCACCACCAGCGTACCCACAGCTCAGAACGGCCGTTCAAGTGTGCGGTGTGCGAGAAGAGCTTCAAGCACCGATCCCACCTAGTCCGTCACATGTACGCCCACTCGGGTGAGCACCTGTTCAAGTGCAACCTTTGTGAGTTGCACTTCAAAGAGTCTTCCGAGCTCCTCCACCACCAGTGTCAGCCGCAAGGTGCTCGGCCATTTCGCTGTGCCACGTGCGGGAAGGGCTTCAAGCGTCCGTCCGACCTGAGACAGCACGAACGCACTCACTCTGAGGAACGCCCATTCCATTGTGAAGACTGCCAGATGAGCTTTAAACAACAGTATGCCCTGGTGCGCCACCGACGCACGCACAAGCCCTCCGCCGACCGCCCCTTCAAATGCAACCTGTGCGACAAGGGCTTCCTGCAGCCGTCCCACTTGTTGTACCACCAGCACGTTCACGGCATGGAC